TGTGTCATACAACAAGTGACACGTACCTCACGTGTATCACTACAACTGGTGGCCCGTAAACGTGTTCATGAATGACTGTTAATACGTGTAAGATTGATTATTTAAATGTTGGCATGTTGAAATAGTAACGGTTAAACAGCTGTGCTGAAACCGTGCGTCTTTACGCAGCGCAAATTGGAGCTGCGCGCTTGGAGCTCGGCTCTACAACTTTACGCTGTGTTACGCTGGCAATGTTTTAAGAGCTGAAATTGTGTCATAAGTCTTGTGTAAGCTGAAATTGTACGTCTGTTACGTGTAACTAAAGGCTGATGAGCTGTGGAATACGTTATTCTGTTTAAGGTACGAGGTTCTGCTAAGACCCGGCTGTGGTTCGGTTCTGCTCAGTTGGAACGAGTATTTTGAATAGATGGATAAACGTTTTAAAAGCTGAGTGCCATCTCAGAACACAGTTAGAAGTTGTTTCGTAAGAATATTCAGACAGCCCCCAACGCACACACACACGCACAAATCATAATATGGCAGAAAAGGTTCTTATAAAGGCCAAACTAAAGGGATAAATTACACCATGAGCTAATTGGAGTTAAATTTACCTATTTGTTCTTTTTAATCCCAAAACTAATGAGGAAATTTCAGACTAATTACAAAATAAGGAAGTAATATTCATCTTCTATGTGCAGCAACATGCACTAAAAAAATAAATCGAGAACTTAATGAGCTAATTACATATGAGTGTCTGGGTCATAATTGATTGAGAACAGAGGAGTTGGAGGGTTGTGTGTGCTCTTGTGTTTCCCCTCTGGTACACTTCACTCTGTAGATCCCAGAAGATCGACGGAATGAAAGGAAGGAGCGAGAAATAAAGAGACAACTGAAGGGTTTGAATTAGGGATGAACGATATGGGATTTTTAGCCGATATCCGATATGCCAATACTGATATCTTTTTACCTAGACCTACTTACAGAGACTACGTAGCTTTCTCTGCTGTGGAATTAAAATACTACATTATTTTACATGGTCTTTGTCAATTTGACCTGCTACCAAATGCAGATGCCAAAAAGGGGCTGAAAATGATGCAACACTTCAACTTGAATTATGTTTAATGTCAAATTTATTCATTTCACATTTACTCTCTAACACAATGACAACACTCGAACAGTGGAAAATTGTAAAGTTTCACAAATCTGAACTCAACCTGTTCACAAACAAGAAGTGAAAAGTGCATAAGTAGTAGTGCATTAATAGATATACTTGACAGTTTCTTAAAAATTAACTTAAAACTGAAGTCTTTTATATTGGCAAGTTATTTTGGTGGAATGGCCAATGTCCGATATTTAACTTTATCGCTAATATCAGCCGATACGGATACCATGCCGATAATATTGTGCATCCCTAGTTTGAATGGCGTTAAATGTGGTTAGAAGTAATCCTGGATGTTTAATTTCAAAATGTACTGAGGCTTTGGTTGTCTTGAGAAGGCTTCTTCTACATGTAAAAATATGAACAATGTAAATTTTGTAATCTTTTGACAATTTTCCTTTAGGGTCCACCATCTCCTTCAGATGATGAGTCACTGCCACTTGTGGCTGTGCTCACCCTTTGTGGCTTTGACTTCCATGTTCTGGTCTTGTGTCTAGTTTTACTACAGTTTACATGGGGGGGGGCAAACTTCTAATGGGAAATCACTCTTTTTTTTAATATTTCTCCTGGTTATCAGATGTGTGAAACCGTGTTCACCAGAGTGAAACGTTTTTGTGGAGCTGACTTCAACAGGAAAAGTATGAATCTGCAAACATTTAAACAGCTTCACCCATGCAAGACAGAATCCTATAGAAATATCAAACTATGTTTTTTTTTTCATTTGCAGTTGATTGAAAAGAAAACAGAATGATACGTAAAAATGCAAATAGATTAAATGTGATTTGTCTTCATTTTATTTGACTACATCCACACGCTTTTTAAAAAAAGTGGTCTCAGAGCAGTCAACAGACCCTGGTAGCTCCTCTCACTGTAATCTCTAAGAACACTTGGTTCACTGATGATTGAACTAAAGCTAGTTTCCAGGAAAATGCCTGAGCGACGATGAAGCCTCGGACCACTCCATAATTAAGCTTTAACCTACTCAGAAAGGATTTGTCAAATGGAAACTCGGGGTGTGCTCACTGAACCCCCAATCTTCACTGCAGACTTGTGCAACTTAATACACCTGAAAACTAAAAACGTGCGTCTCTCTGCAACACACCTGCGGCCTATACACAACATATCTATCTAAATGAAAACCCAGCTGCTCTCTTACAGTTTATATCTTTTTTGAGCTAATCTGTTGAACTACTTAAATGATACCCATTAATCTCCGGTATAAATTAGCAGCTCCAATATGTCTCCGCTTGCAGAAAAAGCTTTGGTGGAGCTCATAAGACTTCTTTTGTTATACCTGTGGAGTGGGAAAGTACGGGGGAGGGGAGTGTCAGCGGAAAGAAGCCCTTGCGATATGTCTCAACTCACCTACCGATTAATCACACACCTTTAGGCGCTGAATTAAAGACCTGTGATAACTGGAGTGGCCAATCATCCGCATAGCTGGGAGGAAGATCTGTTCCCTCTGAGAGCAAAACTAAACCAACTGTTAAAGCTTCTCTGTGTCCTTCTGTCTTTTCCATTTTATATTTTTGGGGTTAATGTGCCTTTTGGCTCTTTAAGATTAATCAAAAGCACTGGGTTTACCTTCATGCATGAATGAAAGCTCTTAAAAAACAATTTAACTCTTCTAATTGACACACTATAGCTTGAACAATGGAGGAATGCGCCTCTTAATTTTTAGCACAGGCTTTAAAAGTAAACTTTTGTCCTTCAATCATCCCAAAGTGCCAGTAGGATAAAAAAAAAAAAGACTTTTGAAGACACAACCAAGCCAATTAGAGTCACCATGGCAACATCAGGCATCAGGTGAAAGGGTGAGCAGTTCCATGATGGGCAAAGAGGGAAGCAGAACTAAGTAATTTGATCAAATAGGTGGAGAGAGCGCACAGAGATCAAATATGGTTTTGTCTTCCAACAGAAGCGCAACGGTCCGAATTTGGTAATCAGAGTC